AAAAAAAAAACACTTAAAAAGGGCTGAGGATGCAGAATCACCTGGGATATCAATGAAGGCTCTGTGGTCAATCCCAGCACTGCAAAAACAGAACAAACAAACAACTGAAAAGATCGATGATATTGTGTTGTTTTTTGAGAGGATAAATAAGATTGACAAACTATTAGCTGCACTCAGAAAAAGAAGAGGGCAGACTTGACTTAAAAAATCAAAAATGAGGGCCAGGTATATAACTCAGTGGCATAGCATCAATCTGGCAAGCACAAAGAGTTCCATTCTCAATACTGGAAAAAAAAATCAGAGATGAGAAAAGGGGTATCACAATACCACAGAAGGGCTAGGGATATAGTCCAGAGGCAAAGCGCCTGTCTGGCAAGCATGAGGTCATGAGTTTGATTCCCCCCAGTACCAAAAAATAAACAAACAAAAAAATGTGCTGCACGATCTTGTAATCCACAAATGAGCCTCTCAGAGCCCCCAGCTTGGTGTCCAAAAGTGGGGCAAGACATGTTTTTTAAAAAGCAGCGCTGATTTATTTTATGCTGGGCCCAGCGACACAGTGCAGTTGGAGTTTGCAAAAGCTGTGTAGTCTCCCTCAAAACTTTCCAGACTTTTTGCAGAAAGCACGGTTTACAAAGTAAGGGGTTATGGACGTGGATCAGGAAATGAAAGATTCTTCATCTGTTAAGGAATGAGGAAGACCTTTGTTTCCCTTTGCAGAAATTAAGAATCCTTTGTCAACTTATTTTAGATAACATCCATTGTTTGCAGAGGGCAGCAATGGTTAACATATCAATTATGTCAGATTCCCAGGAATTTACAGTTCTTTACAGAGGGGAGCATTGATTAACATATCAATGAGGTCACCCAGAAAAATGACGCATGCATACAGAACAGTTTGACAGTATTACAGGTACTTTGGTCATATAACTTAGGCATAGCACAAACATAATGAAGCTCTTCTTGCTAGTCTACAGCACACGATGCCATAGAAATACAATGATTTTGAGAAACTGTTATGACTATTGTATACAATAAGTTTAATAGCCTAAAGAAGTGGATAATTTCCCAGACACTTACAACCTAACAAGATTGAATTATGAAAAGCCAAAAAACAGATTGTTCTTGTGGTGTGTACCTGTAGTCTCCGTACACTGTGAACCCTTAGGCAGGAGGATCTTAAGTTTGAGTCCTACCTGGGTAACTTAGCAACTTAGGTAAGTTAGTATCTCAAAACAACAAGTACAAATGGCAAGTAAGTTCAGTACAAACTTGTGGGTGCAAGCCTCTTTTACAGGGGGAAAAAAGAGAAACAATACTGAAAGAGTTTTGGCCCAGACAGGACACTGTAGTCAGTAAAGCCTCAGGCAGAACCAAGGAGCGCCATCTTCCCCATCCCTAGGAATTTACCTGCGACTGTATCTTCCCCACCTGTTGGGAGCCGCGGCCGAGCCCGGTCGCCTTACTTGGCGGACGTGAGGCCTGTAGGAAAGAGCAAAGCCTGAGCTAGATTACCCCTCCCATCGAGTGTGCTAAGATGGCGCTTATCTCCTGCTTGGTAAACAACCCGCCCTGTAAGATCTCTTGCTTCACAACCCGCCCTGTAAGATAGTCTGCCTAGCAACAACTGATGTTAGCCAATCAGCCCGCATCGCGCGCTTTGAACTGATTGGCCACTGTAACCCTATAAAAGTGAGTGCCTCTCCCACCACGAGAGAAGAAGCAGAAGAAGCAGAAGAAGCACGCAAGGAGCCGCGGAGAGCGGACCAGTAGAGGCTTCGGGACAGACTGTAGGGAGAAGCACGCAAGGAGCCGCGGGGAGCGGACCAACAGAGGCTTCGGCCGGGAGGATTCCCGGGGCAGGCTGTACGGAGAAGGAAAATAAAAGAAAAGGTTGTCCACTGCCAGACTTTGTTGTGTGTCCTTCCTGCCGGCCGGGAGTGACACCGACACCCACCCCTAGGAATTTACCTCTGGCGCCAAACAAGTGCCAATGGGCTACCTGTGCATCACTAATGCCCCTTAGGTTCCACCCCAAATCTAGGCTCCTAATATGCCTCCACTCCACGTGTTCCACGGAGAGATCACGGATGGTGGGGGAGGATGCCGCGCCCCAGGGGATCGGGGGTGTCTCTCCCCCCATTCTCAAAATAAAGGTCATTTATATTTCATACTTCTTATCTTTCCAGCCGCCACTGGTCCCCCACAGTTCTATCAAATACCTATACCAAAAAATGGACATACTCTGGTGTGATTTGTGACTATTATTGACAATAAGTTATTGCATATCTCAATATAGTTAGAATGCTCCCCTTGCAATGAAATAATAAATGTTTGAAGAGACAGCGATGCTAATTACCCTTATTTGATAATTACACAATGTATGTTTGTACTGAAACCTTGCATTGTATCCTATAGATATGTGTGTGTGTGTGTATGTGTGTGTGTGTGTGTGTGTGTGTGTGTGTGTGTTTTGAGTGAGGGTCTTGCTATACAATTTAGGCTGGCCTTCATCTTCCCTCCTCAGCCTCTTGAGTGCTGGAATTACAGGTGTGCAGCACCATGCCTAGCTGTACCCGGTAAATAGGAACAATTGGTATTTGTGAATTCAAAATAAAAATTAAGGATGTAGCTCAGTGGCAGAGTACTTGATTAGCCTGTGCAGGGTACTAGGTTTGATCTCCAGCACCATCCATGTGTGCCCACACATGCATGCCTGTATTCTCTCACACATAGAAAACTAGTTGGACAAAGTAATATAAAGTGAAATGTAACAGTTATTACCATTTACGTTTTTAGCAGTACCAACAGAAGGTTTAGAATGAAACCTGACAAGAGATGTGTAAGACTTCTACACTGAAAGGAAAACAATTTGTGTGAGAAAAAAAAAATCGAAGACTTACATAAGGAGAGTTATACAAAGGCCATAAGTTACAAAGCTTAATTTTGTTAAAAGGAAAATGTCTGTGCACTGATATGTAGATTTGATTCAATACTGATAAAAGTGCCAGGTGTGGTGGCTCACACCTGGGATCCTAGCACTTGGGAGGCTGAGGTGGGAGGATTGTTGTGAGTTTGAGACCAGCCTGGGCTACAAAGTGAGCTCGAGGCCAGCCTGAACTGCATAGCGAGACCCTGTCTCAAAAAAGACAAAAATAAATAAATTTAAAAAAACCAATACTGATAAAAGTGGCAGCAGAGGCAATGGTGATGATATCACAGCTCCCCTGCTTGAGTCTGCATTCTCTGTGAAAGTCCTGAAGACCATAGAAGGGTGAATCTAGAGAAGAATGTGGAGTTACACAATCAAATGCCAAAACTTACTTAAAGCTGCACTTGTTAGGACAGACTGGTGCAGGTGCATGCAAGGCTTGACCAAGCAATGATGTAAGGAAAACTGTTCATACAACAAAAGACATATCTATAAATGAAGGGTGAAAATGCTCATTTTAATAAATAGTACTACATTAAGAGGTCCAGTGGACTCATCCCTTACTTTTCTACTATAAATTTGTACTTTAGCTGTGTGTCTGGTACTGGCTGTGTGTCTCAGTACCTTTTCCTGAGGGATACAGGAAACAATCTATGTGTTTCCCCATTTGATATTGATATGGGGGAAAGAAAAACTCCCAATCTGCTAGATGTCTGATACTTTGAATTCTCTAAAATTGAAGAATGATTTTGATAAACAGTGGAGGTTAAGAGCAAAATATGTTTATTGGGAGGAAAGAACGCTTTGGTCTGAGAAAGACACATAATGCATCTGAGTGGTTACCAAGGATGTTGCTTTTTCTAAGGATTTTTATAGAGCAAAACCAAAAGATGGGGCAGGTCTAAGATGGGGGAAAGTGGGAAATCACAAAGTGAGCATGAAGCGGGGCAACACTATGTTTAACCAATAAGATTATGAATATAATAAGCAACTCACATAATTAGTGGGCATTAAATCAGAACAGGGTTTTTTCCTGTAGGGAGTTGGGTTAGTGGCTCTTCCTGGCTTCCTCAAGTTGATTGATAGCTATTTAGAATATCAATCAACCCTGATGTTTATCCTTAGGAAATATGGGGGTGCATTCTAATTATCTTTTGCCTTGAGGTCTGATCCTCAGCTGAGGTGCCTGTTTCCCCCAAGTTGCAAGGTATCCTGTCTTCTGCACTGGCTCCTTCAAGAACCTAGCCCTATCTGACTGCCTATATTTCTATCTCATTTAGCTACATATAACAATATGAGGAGCAGCAAGATATGTCCATGTATGCAAAAGTGGCAAAACAGAATTTGTACCCACCTTATGTTCCTTCTAACTGGTTCTGCATATGTTTACCTGAGTGTCCAATAGACCCACATCTCTCCTGAATTTGCTTTTAAAAAAATAAAGTTTTCTTTTGACTTTTCTGGTAGAAATAGCCCAATTCAATACAATGGCACATGAAAAACCAGTTTTGCAAATTTTGGAGGAGGTCAAAAGTGAACCATCAGATTACTCATGGATGGATTATGAAGATGACCCATTATGATAAAATATATGCTCTCATAACAGAAGACTGTGGGGGTGTATGATGATGATGATCATGACTTTGATGTTGGCCATGTGAGCCAAAGTTCCTGTGACAGTGAAATAGAGCAAAGATCAACTGATGCAGACACGGGGAATGCAGACGTCTTTGATTCAGATGAGGAAAAAAAAAATTGCAATGGGTATACATATTTAACTGGTCAAAATGTTGCAAAACAGCCATCCAACCAGATGGAATGATCCAATGTTAGATCTAGGTCTCAAAATATAGTAAAGGTCTTGACAGAGGTGAAATGAACAGAATGCCAGCACTGCTGTTCAGTGTTGGAAATTGTAACAGATGAAATGCCACAGATGCTGTGAAATCCACAAAGGCTGAAATGCAAATAAAATGTTCGGTATGCACCAAGGTCCATATTCAAAAATGTATTTTTATTACACTTCACTTGCTGAACTGAAAGCATTCATAGGTCTGCTGTACTTAGCACAGATTTCTCATGGTGGTCACAGGAATGTAAAAGACTTATAGAAAAGTATTGGGTCAAAATATGTCATACAAGTTTATGCCCTTGTAGATACAAAGACTTATTATTCTTTCAATTGAGAAATTTATCCTGGAATTCAATCAGCAGTTCTTTATTCATATAGTAATAAACAATGATGTTATGAACAGACTTGCTTCATTCTCCCGAATGAATCTGAATATGACATTTGAAAACTGGTTTACCAGTTTCCACTGGTGTTACATTTGCTAACAGAGTGCATATTGACTAATGCAGGAACTGTTAGAGTTTTCAGCATAATGAAAGAGAAAAAAATATAAAGTAAAAAGGTAGCCTTTATCCCAAGGACATGTAGAGGAGTTCAACAACCATAGACAATCTAACCTCCTCTGACCAGAATATGGGGTATAGGATATCCATGTAACCTCTGACCAAGGGTGGCACTTAGGGCAGGCATTGATGACTCATGAGGAGCTGATTGGAACCTTTTTTCATACCACTGGGAAAGACAAAAGGAAGTTGTCATAGGGGAAGGAGGAAGTGACCTCAAGGTAAGCATTCTTTGGATCTTCCTCCCACTGCCTTCATATTGTGTAACTTATTCTAGGGCAAAACTCTTTCATTCCCATCTTTTTATTGTTAGGAAAAGGGCAAAATCTCTCTCTTACTACTTCCTGCTGAAAGAGGGTGCCTTATTGGGGTTTAGGAAGGTTGACAGGATGATGATTGATGTCCATGCAGAAGCTGGTACCAGGTGTTTCAGCCAGGACAATATCATCAGTGAATGCCCACATCCTAGGCTGGAAAAACAAAGAGACAAGGTGCTATGAGGAGGCATAGTTAAGGACACAGGGGAGGTAGAAGGAAAGGTGCCTTTGATTTAAATATGCTGTTCCATTGGGACTATGGTGAGATAGAATTCTGAAAAATAAGTGTGGGGTTAGGAAGAGTGAAGTTATGAGAGGTAATTAGTCCCCCATCTGAAAGGGTAAAAGTTAAAATTATGGGTAGGTAGTGCTTGTCTTTGGTATAGGAGTTGAGCTGGAAAGAATAAGAAGCATGAGAGATAAAGGCCTGATGATTGAATAATATTTGGGAAATTACAGAATATAGGAGGGCAGGTCCGTGGCTGTGTCACTATAAGGGACATAAGAGCCTAAACCCACAGGGATCTCATACTTAACCAAACAGCTGAGGGCGGAGAGAACAAAGATAGTTATAGTGAAAAATTTAACTAATAGAATATAAGGGATCAAAAACCAAATAGGATGGCAAAACATGATATAGCCTGAGAGTTATGGCAGTGAGGCCTTGGTGAGACAGAGATGGGTGGGAGATAGAAGGTGAGGTGACCACTCAGGGTGTTTAGATTCAGGGATGGGAAGGCACCACTTAGCTTGAGTGATGTGGAACCAGGATGGCAGTCCAGCAACTTTGACCACTGTTGGTGTTGCCAAGAAGACCAGTTAGGGGCTGCTCCACCTTAGTTGTAGTCCTTGAGATGATTTCCTATAACAGGACTTTAGTAACTACATTGGCACTCCTTTGGTGCCAATGTAGCCCGGGAAAGGCTTTTATCTATCCTGAAAAAGTACAAATAAAAGTGAGAAGATATTTGAGAGTTTTGTTGTGGAGCATGTGTGTAGAATCTACCAGTCAGCCCTGCCCAGGGGTGTGTCTGCAAAATTGATGAATAGAAAAGGAAGGTGGTACTATGTGTCCCTGACAAGAGGTTTTACTATAGAGATAATAGGTGTAAGTTGTTGAGACCTCAGAGTGTCTGGGTCAGTCTACATAAACACAAAGGAATAAAAAAGGCATTTTTAAGATCTAAGACTGTAGAGTGAGTGGTAGAGGGAGGGATATGAGAGAGTATGGTATAAGGGTTTGGCACCACTGGGTGGATTGATGTAACAGCACTATTGACTACCCCAAGGTCCTGCATTAGATGGTAAGACCCATCAGATTTGAATACTGGGAGAACAGGAGTATTATAGGGTGAATGGGTAGATTTAAGAAAACCATTGTCTAAAAGACACTTGGTTATAGGCTTAAGTCCCTGTAAATGTTTACTGAAGGATCCCTGAGATGAATTAAAATAGACATAGCATAGGTAGCACAGGTGGGACTGGAGGTACCTCAAACTGTGGGATCGACGAGAGAAGAAGGAAGAGGAGGAGATGACTTTGTGGCACCTTGTGAGGGTGTTTAGAGGACTAGAGTTGTGGGAAGGGAGAAGGTAAAGGAGAAGTTACGCTTTTGAGGAATATCTCTACCTAAAAAGGGGTGTGGGACATGTTGGAATTGTTAGGAAGCTATGGGTAATGAAGAGAGTATGGAATAGGCTCTGTCTGCAAAGCTGAATAGGTTGACTGTCAACACCCACTACAGAGACTGAGGACTTAATACAAGGGCCTGAAAACTCAGGAAGAACACTATATATGGCCTCTATGTCCACAAGTACAGAGAATGTCTTATGTGAGACCTGTAATAGGATTTGGGGCTCTGATAAGGACACCTTAATGGGGGGCTGTGGGCCCTGAGCCCTATCAATCTTCCACAGCAAGTCCAAGTAGATCAGTCAGTGATGAATCCAGTGGTGATGAGCTCTCCTATGAGAGCAAGGAGTTAGAGAATGGCTTACCTGCTCTCTGGCAGCTAGAAAAGTCACTCTTCCAATGCCCCTTGAGATTGCAATAGGGGCAAGGCCCCAGAGGAATGCCAGGGTTGGGGCACTCTCTTGCCCAATATCCTCCTTTGTTGCACTTGAAGCATGGTCCAGGAAGGGCTCAGGCAGTTCTGCCTTGTCCCAATTTGCCTGTCTCAGATCTCCAAGTGTCACTGCTAAAAGACCAGATTGTTATTTTACCTTTTGACTTTTATCTCTGTTGTTGAAAACATGAAAAGCCATATTAAGAAGGTCTCCCTGTGGGGTTTGAGGGCCAAGTTTAGCCTTTTGTCTTGGGATCTGGCCCACAGTGGAAGGTATCTGTCTCCTCCACAGTCACAAGACATCTGGTTTTCTGTGCTGGCTATTTTGAGGCCATAGCCCTGTCTGACTACCCATAACATTTTTAACTGACTTAGCTGCCTGTAGCATTTTTCTCTGAAGAAGAAACCCAAACTGCCATGATGGATAATGGGTGGAGACTGATCTGGCTTTTTTAGGCTGACAGATGTTGAAGTTGTCAAATGGCAATCAGGGGCACTCTGCAGAGCTTTTAACTAGTGGCCCTCAGTAGACAGCAGGCATTTTTTTCCTTGGGTAGGTGTACAGCATTAAGTCTAAAGGAGACAAAGGCAAAGAACCAGTTAAGTATGCAGGAGTCAAATAATAGAATCAACAGGGTATTTATGAGTATAATTTTAGTAATAGCTTCCCATAAGGAGGATAAGGATAAGGTCCAAGGAATTTCAGGAAACTGACATGTCATTCATTTGTCATATACAAATTTAGGTTTTACAGTTTTATAAATACCTCCTATGCTGTTAGATTGTCTCATGCCATCTGATTTTTGGAGGATGGCCTTTTTTATTAATTTTACCTTCTTATTTAGGAGAGAGGTCAGCTGTAGTGTCACTTAATGCCAGTTGAGTATAGCTAATTATGGCCCCAGTATGTATCATATAACCTTTTTCTGGAAAAACAACTGGTGGATCCCAGCAAAAAGAATCTATAAGGAATTTATAATTATCTCTTAATTTTAGTTTTTGAATATCCAGAAGATTGATAACAGTACAGTACAGTAGAGGCAGTAAGCTTAACATAGAACATTAAGTGGAACCACTATTTTTTATTAGCCATGGGTGTTTTAATATTTGAGCACTGAAGAAATTTGTGACATTGTTTGGACTGCTCACTATTTAAGCATCTCTAAGTATAACATATACATTACATAAATTTTTGTTTAAAAATTATTATTTGACTAATGACCTCATGTTGGTCTGATGTGAATCTCCTGGCTGAAGCACAAGAAAAAGGCAGATGTCTGAATCTGCAAGAAAACACTTGTCATCATAAACGATCTCAATTTTATATTTGAAGGCATGAATATACCACCAGGTCAGCAACAATGAATTGTCTTAGTCATATGAACTTTAGGTGAGGTGTCTCCCATAAAGCTATGGAGATTATTGGGGCCTCTGATTAATGAACGAGAGCTGGTTAAATTTACCAGCTTATTCATCAGTTATTACTTTCTTATTCATCAGTTGAAGTTCTGTTCAACGTCTCCTTACCCCAAGGGATTTTGTTTAATCAATTTTGGCATCATTTTGACCAGCTGACAACCTAGGTGGAAGCATGCTTTTTAAATCTATAACCCAAATAAACCTTGATTAAATGATCTGAAAATGTAAAAGAGGAGGAAAAAAGATTGTTGAGCTCAAATATACAGGAACAGCTGTTTATGGAGCAGGCAAATGGACAGATGATCTATACAGTATAGAGTGCACTGAAATATATTTGGCCAATTTGAATTATAATAGACTAGCATGAACCTTTTTGTAGATTAATTAATAGAGATCTCTTGAAATAAGAATAGCAGAAAAGGAACCTAATTTATGTTTTGACTGTCCTTTACATGAGCTGCCACAAGATGGCTGCTAAGAACCATGCAGTTTGCTGGAATGCTGGAATGCTGGAATGCATGAGACCATCTATGATAGGCCAGCAGGGAAAATAACAACACAGGGGAAGAGGAGAGATGAGGAGAGATGCATCGTCTAGGGGGTTGGAGCAGAGCAAGCCAGAAGTATTTGCGCCATCATATAGGACAGAGTGAGAAAGGGACATATCCTTAAAGTGAAAAAGGCCCAAAAATTAAGTTTCTGCCAACTTGCAGCCACTGTGACAAAAGCATAAATAAAGGAGCAGCTTTTTGGGTTTCATGGCCTTCTTGAGGCCAAGAGCACCAAGATTATGAATCAGACACCCCAGAGGTGAACAAAAATAACAGTTTTGCCTCAGGCTGTGTGACCTAAGGAGCATGAAAACTGTTATTCCTGTTCAGTGACAGTAAGGGTAGGTTTTATGATGCAAGCTTGCAAATTTTAGGAACGGAAACAGAAAACCCCAGATGGTAGCTCACCTGTGATGAATGAGGAAGGTCGTGGTTGCATATGGATTAGCGGATTAGCAGTGGCAAGTAAACAGTCCTGGAGGGGGAAAAAAAGGTGGTTCTTAGGCAGGGTAGCTCCAACTGGGAGGAATTTTTTAGGAGCTGATGCGCTCTGTCATCCAAGTCACATGACACCATTAATGTTAGAGTTTTTAGCGCAATGAAAGAGAAAAAAATATAAAGTAAAAAAGTAGCCTGTATTCGAAAGACGTGGAGAAAAGTCCAACAACCATCGACAGTCTAGCTTCCTCTGACCAGAAGGTGGGGTATGGGATATACATAGAACCTCTGACAAGGGTGGCACTTAGTGCAGGCATTGATGACATGGGAGGAGCTGATTGGAACCTTTTTCATGCCACTGGGAAAGGAAAAAGGAAGTTATCATAGGGGAAGGGGGAAGTGACCTCAAGGTAAGCATTCTTTGGTTCTGCCTCCCACTGCCTTAATATTGTGTAACTTATTCAAGGACAAAACTCTTTGAGGATCTAAATATAGGAACAATGTAAAAATTGCAAATGAAGTGCTGCAATTTCAAAAACAGAATTGTATAGTCCAATCTTTGGGTTTCAGGAAAAGATAACATTGGCCTCTTATATGGCAAAGAAAAACAAACTGGTACTGCTGATGTTAACATTATACCATTATGGAAATGTTAATAGGGAAGCCTGGACAAAATGAAAGCCTGCACTGGAAACTTTAAACAACAAAATTGAATATAGGGTAGATGTTGATGAGTTATACAGTAACTGTGATGTCTCTTGAAACATGTAGCATTGGCCAGTGGTTGTGTTTTGTTTAACCCTAAACACATAAATACTTGATAGTTTACAAAGAAAATAAGTACAAAATATTGTGAAAAAAGAAAATAATGAGTGGAATATATCACAGAGAAATATTCTTAGAAGACTGGGACTAGAGCTCATAAGAGATCAATTATAGCAGAGGAAAAACAAAATGCTGCTGCCAGAGAACTACAGAAAAATTGTGGAGTACACTGGTAAGTTGAAAGGTGAATAAACAGGCATAGCATCACAAAGTCGTACTATGACAACAGGAAAAGAAAAAAGATGTTAACTGTACCCCACAAGAAAGTACAGGAAAACAGTGTAAGGGAGAAGTGTGGGGCTCATGCAGCAGTCACGATAGGCAGCACCTCGGGTGTGACAGTTAAAGCAAAGCTTATGTCAGTGGTAAACTTTTGCTTTTATTTGCATTAAAGTTCACATGGGTTTTATTTTGGACGCTATCTTTTAGGTTTGGTAAGCAAGTAAACACCTGATGTGAAAATGTTGATGTCTGTCCTAAGCCCTCATTACATATTTGATATTTTATTTTATTTTATTTTATTGATATAAATAATGATTCAAAAGATTAATGAAGACAGGCATAGGCAAGCACTTTCTGAATAGAACATGAGAAATAATACAAAAATCAACAAATAGGATCATATCAAATTAAAAAGCTTCTTAACAACAAGGAAAACAGCCAAATGAGTGAAGATACAACCTACTGAATGAGAGAAAAATTTTGCAAGCTACACCTTGAGCAAAGGATTAATATATAGAATACATAAAGAACTCAAAAACTTAGTCCCCCCAACATAGACGACCTAGTCAAAATAGCTAAAATGAACAGACAGTTCTCAGAAGAAAAAGTACAAATGGCCAATAAACACATGAAAAATGTTCAACATCATTGGTTACTAGAGAAAAGCAAATTGAAACAACCCTGATAACAGCTGTAGTGGTGCATGCTTGTGATCTCAGCACTCAGGAGGTTGAGGCAGGTGGATCTTTGTGAGTTAGAGGCCAGTTTGGGCTACATATGGGTTCAAGGTCAACCTAAACTACATAGTAAGACCCTGTCTCAAAAAATAAACCAACAACAACAAAAAAAGCAACACTGTTATTCCATTTTACTCCAAAAAGAACAGCTACCATTAGGAAATCAAGTCATAGTAAATGCTGGTGATATTGTAGGGAAAAGGAATTGTTCTTCATATGAAAATCAGCAAGGAAAAAAGTATGGCGATTCTTCAAAAAACTAAAGCTAGAAATTCCACTTGACCCAGCTATTTCCCTTCCAGTTAATTTCCCAAAGTTGTTAGAAACATTACATCACAGTAATAAAAACCTAACCATGTTTATAAAAGCACAACTTCATTTAACTTTTGGTAGTGGCCTATTTGTCCACCAGCAGATGAGTGGGTAAAGCAAAGGTGGTATTTACACACAATGCAGTACTATTGTGCCATCAAGAATAATAAAATTCAGCCATTTGTAGGAAAATGGGCACACCTTGATAGCTTAATGTTAAGAGAAATAAATCACACACACAAGTTTAAATACCTCATAGCTTCTCTTATATGAAAAACTCAAAATATAAATAAATAACAAAATAAAAGATTGACCGCAGAAGCCATGGAGATACCATAGACCTTTTTTAAGTGGAGAGAAGAACAACAGAGGGAGGGAGAGACAGGAAGGAGACACTAAAAGAATTAAGATGTATTCTGTACATAAACTAACCACCATGAGAATATAATCCCTATGTTGTGCAAACACACAGAAACAAAAATCAAAATTTAAAAATTTAAGTGGGTGTCTCACCCAGGGGCTATTCACATAGCTAATGAGACTATTACAAAAATAGCATCAGTCAGAGGATGCAAACCAGAGTGCCTATAGGAAAAGTACTAAAAATAGCAAGGATTATGAGAAAGTTGGGCAACCAGAGCTCTCTAGGTGCGGGCTTAAGTGTAGGAGTCAGTGGGTGCACCAACCTGAGGACCAGTTTGACATTTTCTACTGAAACATATGCACACTCTGTGACTCAGCAATTCTGTTACTCGTTATACACTCTGAGAACTGAGTCTCCTAGAGAAAGGCCTCTGGTGCTAGAGGTGAGTTACTCACGAGAGTCAAACCTGGAACAACCTACCTGTTTGTTTCCAATAGAGCATCTATCTGTTGGGACATAGACAGCAGCAGCTACCTACAGCAGCCAGCTGTGGGAGAGAAAGGGGCAATAAGAAAGTAGGGGGATCCCCACTCAGTTTTGAGAAAACAAAAGCATGAAGACAACACAGCGAATTGCAGGTTTGGTGGGGGCCGCAGGCAGGCGGGGCACGAAGCGCAGGCGGGGTGGGGTGGAGGGACAGAAACCAGGAGAGAACGTCCTCCGTCCCAGTGCGCCTTCTGTACAGTTCTGACTTTGGTAGCCACTGAGTGGAAATGAAAGGATGAAAAAGAAAGAAGGAAAGAAAGAAAGAAAGAAAGAAAGAAAGAAAGAAAGAAAGAAAGAAAGAAAGAAAGAAGGAAAGAAAGAGAAAGAGAGAAAGAAAGAAAGAAAGAAAGAAAGAAAGAAAGAAAGAAAGAAAGAAAGAAAGAAAGAAAGTTATTACAGATGGTGGGAAAGGAAAAACAAATAAATAAGATTCATTTTTTCAATGAATAACAGAGCCAGCGACACAGCAGAGGAGAAAATTTAACCCCAGTGGTTTTGACATAGTTTGTATGGCCACCCCTGTGTGAGAGGCAGACAGCGTGTGGGGCAAACACTGAATCCTGCTCAGTATGTTCTGTTTTCCCAGAAGTGAGGATTAGCCATTCCAAAGCTCTCTCAGTTTGAGAACTGAATTACAAGCTGAACACACTGTGAACAGTGGGTCACATTTCACTGTTGGAGAGGGAAGCCAATAAGCAAAGGAGCCACGGCAGAGTGAATGCAGGGTGCTGGGTGAGAACAGCGGCATCAGCCTGAACCTGTGACTGTAGATCCCTGATACAGAGGAGTAGACGTGTGTGGCTCCCCCTCTTCCACTTGCATATATTCAGCGGGACAGCACGGTGTATGAGTTGACATGTGGACAAATTTGGGTATGTGAGTTCAACAGGGCTTCTTTCTCCTTTCCTCCTGTTCCCTTCCACCACCTGGTTTGGAACAGCAGTTGGTGGTGAGTCAGGTCAGTTCATCCTGCAGGTAACTGGGAGTGTCTGCTCTGCGTCTAAGGACAAGGACTGGACACTGACCACACACTGGAGCCCTCGAGCTCCAGGTGTGAATGCACAAACTAGCAGGAATAGCTGGGTTATTTCCAGCAAAAAAAGAAACCTCATCCCTACCCTTTGGCTTCTACCAGGAGGGACATTGTGAGCCCTCTGAGCCCAGTGTTCTCCAATTCCTCCCTCCTTTCTTTTGGAGAGTCAGGTGGGGGACACAGGAATGCTGGCTTTGACATGTCTTTGTGCCTTGTTAGGAGCAAATGGCTCACTGGATGTGCGTGTTCCTCCCCCGACCTCAGGTGACTTCAGGGGGCCTCAGAGAAGTGTCCCAGCTCAGATCGTCACCACCCAGCCATCCATCCCTTGCTTGCAATCAGTGACAGGCACTTGGATGGGAGCGCCCTGGGCTTTAGATTCCTTGAGGTGGGTACTCTAACACCTGGTTTACTGCAGAGCCCCTGGTGCTTGTCCCAGGATCTGGCCATAGATGCTAGTTGACAGATAAGAACTAGACTTTTAATTAATTTGAATACCAAGTCATATATAGTGACATGAGAGCTAGGGAAACTTGTGTTTCCTTGTGGGACACCCTGGCCCTCACAGGCCTGTGGTCATGCAGCTTTCAAATCCTTGGCTCAACCCAGCACAGCTTTACTTGGCTGCAAAGAAGAGCAAAGCATCCTCACATCATGATTCACCTATCAACCCAGAGTTGCCTTCCTGTGGGGCGAGGTGGCCCCATGTGGGTGGCACTGTGGACAGGACCTAGCATCCCTAGCTTCCCACAAGATGCCAGTGATACCCGCTAGCCCATCTATGACATCCCCAGGGTGGGGCAGAGTTATCTTTGTTCAGGACTTTTTGTGGGGGTCTCTCACCCCAGGCCCTGATCTCAAAGTCAGAGCTTCACAATGGGGTCTCACTCAGGATCCCTCCCACCAATTGTTTTGTGGCCTGAACAGGAAAGGTTAGTAGCACTGACATGCCAAGCCACATCCACCTGCTGGAAATGGAGGGGTGACCAGAGCAGACAGTGTGTAGGGTGGGGAGCAGACAGTGGATTAGTCCCACAGTGGATCCCATCCATCCATGGTACAGGTTGCCTCACCTGTCTGAGCCTGCAGCTGCTCAGCACACCTGTGGCAAAGGCTAGGGCAGGCATATCTCTACCCCAGGATGAACGGTCCCCAGGTCATGAAGCCCATTGCTCTGGTGATGCTGGTGGCCCTGTAGTGTGC